TGAGAGGATTTTCTCTAGATGCATATCTTGTTTACAAGCAAAGTCTAAAGTAATGCCTCATGGCTCTTACACACCCTTACCTATTGCTAGCTCTCCATGGGTGGATATAAGTATGAATTTTAAACTGGGTTTGTCCAAAACCCAGAGAGGCATGGACTCTATCTTTGTGGTAGTGGACAGATTTAGTAAAATGGCTCATTTTATTCCTTGCCATAAGATAGATGATGCTAGCAACATAGCAAGACTCTTCTTTAAGGAAATGGTTAGACTTTATGGTCTACCTAAAACCATTGTGTCAAATAGGGATACGAAGTTCCTTAGTCATTTCTGGAGGACTCTCTGAAATAAATTAATAACTAAACTTCTTTTCTCAACTACTTGTCACCCATAAACTAATGGGCAGACTTAAATAGTCAATCGATCCCTATTTACCATGTTGAGGGCAGTCCTTAAAGGAAACCACAAGTCTTGGGATGAGTACTTGCCAAACATTGAATTTGCCTACAACCGGGTAGTTCATAAAACTACCAAGATCTCACCTTTTGAGGTATGGTTTTAACCCTTTTACACCTTTAGACCTAGCACTTTTACCTGATTCTCATCACTATTTTCATAAAGAAGGGGTATCTAGGGCTGATTTTGTAAAAAAAAATTGCATGAGAGGGTTAAGGACTATATTCAACAACAAAATGAAAGATATGCCTTAGATAGAAGAAAAGGCAAGAAAGCCTTCATTTTTTAGGAGGGTGATTGGGTTTGACTTCATTTTAGAAAGGAAATATTTCTTTCTCAAAGGAAGTCTAAAATCAATCCTAGAAGAGATTGTCCTTTCCAGGTCCTCCAAAGGGTTAATGATAATGCATATAGGCTAAACCTTCCGGATGATTATGGAGTAAGTACTACAATTAATGTTAGTGATTTTATTCCTTTTGTAGGATTTGATGAGGAGGAGGTTGAGTCTACATATTTAAGGACAAATCCACTTCAAAAGGGAGGGGATGATGGAATACCATGAGCCAAGGGCCCAATTACTCAAGCTATGGCAAGGAGCATACAGGAAGGATTGGCTAGCTTGAAGGTTAGTGGGCTTTCTAGGCCCAAGCAACTCTTCAAGTGGGCCATCACATCTTGAGATTTGGCCTAAATCATTTGTACATATTAGTTTCTTATATAGGTTTCTTTTTGCCTTTGTATTTTAAAGGCACTTTCTTTCTTTTCTTATAAGATATTCCTTTGAGATTTTAGGGTATGTTACTTGGAGACTTTTGCTCCATTTGACCTTGTATTAAGGGTCATTGATTTTCATATTTTTTAGTAGTATAAGTGGGGTGACAAATAGTAAGGTGTGTAGGTGTAACTAGTAATTGGGCTAGAAGTGGGCCTAGGCTAAATTTTACATATTGGGCTTGTTTTCCTCCATTTAGCTAGGTCTCACCATCATTTGGTGAACCTAACGAAACCAATTCCAAGATTTTTGGATTGGATTAAATGAGGGAAAAAACCTTGGCTGCCTAGCTCACTTCCTTGGCCGAATTGTCTTAACTTCTTCTACACACTTGGGAAGCTTGTGCTACAAGCTTCTAAATTAGCTTGCTTCCCCACATTTTAAGTTAGAAGCTTGCTCCACAAGCCTCCTAACTAACTAGACTGGTTAGCTCGAGTGTAAGAAGGCTAACCATTGTTCTCCTTTAACCATAGTTAGTCTAGCTTGCACCACAAACTTCCCCTCACTATATAAGTCTTTTCCTTAACTTTGTAAACACTTTTGATGTTAATGAGATCAAAATTTTTATAAACCTAGGAGAAAAACTTCTCCTTAAAAAGCTTCACAAATGATTCCTTTATTTTTGATTTGGTTCCTACTACTTCTTATTCTTCTTCAAGAAGATTGTCGTGCCACCATTGTTGCTTCTTCAAGCTTCTAAGAGCTTGAACTTTATTTTTAAAGTTCATCAAGAGAAGATGGACGTGAAGATGGAGCTAGTTGAAGAACATCAACCACTTCTTCTAGTGATTTCCATCAGTGAGGGAGCGAGTGAGGGGTGCCTACTACAACAATAATCACCCCTACAGTAGAAAGTAGCCAGCAAAGTCAGGTTGACGCCTTGACTAAGAGGTTGGAAATTCTTGGGGCATAGGTCAAAGCCCTAGAAGAAAAAAATGAAGAATCATGCCTTATCATTAATGGTCTAGAAAGGCAATGCAAGAAGAAAGATATACAAATAGAGCGACTTAAGGATGAGTGTGTTGACAAATATGAAGAAATCATTCGTTCAAAGAAAGTACAGAGATCTGAACCGGATGATCAGCTTCAAAGAGTTGTAGCAAGAATCACACAATTTGAAGCTGAGATCAAAGCACAGGTACATTTGATGGAACGCATATAGAATGACCTACTAGAGACCCATCTGAGCCTCAGAAATGGTGGGAAGTTAGCCAACAATAGACCACCACCCTTTTCTAATCTAAAGCAAAAAGAAAAGAAGGGGTATGAGCAGCTAATAGAGATTAAATCTTAGAAGGAAAAAGCTCTTGAGGAGGTTCAGGAACTGTGCATAATGACCTAGTTCCACCAATAGGAGGCAAAGGAAGCTCAAATAGCTTACGATTAGATAAGTCAAGCTGTCCATACGCAGGTCGAAGCGCTGAGGTGACATGTTGTAGAAGCTGAAGAGGAGCTATGAGTACGACAGCCACTTGTTGGCTTCTTCAGACTTTTGTGATACTGTTAAAATCTACTTAAAATAATTGTATGAGAATGTTGCTTGACAAACAAATCAATAAAATGATATTTGTCAATTTCAGTTGTCTGTGCATTTTGCATTGCATGCATATTAGATCATATGCCTCCCTAGTAATTAATAATTAAGAATAAAAAGAGATTTCTAATCTATAAGCATTAATTAATCAGAAATGGAATGAAAGCCCCTGATTATTAACTACAAACCCGATATGCAAGATCAGGACGCGCCTAAAATCGAACCAATAAAAATTAATGCAGGCAAAGGACAAATTTTGCCAAAGCAACTGATGATCAAGGCACCAAGTCCTTTTCCCTATGCCAGCGATAAGGTCGTGCTATGGGTCTATGACATAAAGGTCCAATCCGAAGAAGACTCGGCAAACATCTCCAAGGCCAAAGGAATAACTAGAAGTGGTCGGATCTACACTTCTAATGAGCTTAAAGCTAAAACCTCTGAAGAAAAGGAAAAGACAGAGGAAGAAAGAAAAAAAAAAAGAGAACTAGAGAAGGAGGGTGGACTCCTTAAATATATAAGGTAAAGTGAATACTTCATCGTAGATCAATTGAATCGTACTCTCACGAAAATTACATTACTTTCACTGATCATGAGCTCAAAGCCTCATCGCCAAGCTCTTTTGAAAGTTTTGAATAAAGAATATGTAGTGCATAACATCTCCTAAGACAAATTCGAGGGGATCGTAAGCCACATCACGACAAGCGATCACCTTACCTTTATCGACGATGAAATCTCGAGTGGTGCAGCCAACCACAACAAACCTTTACACATATCGGTAAAATGTAAAGAATTCCTCATCGCCAAAGTCTTGATGGAAAACAGATGCACTTTGAATGTGCTACCAAAGAGCACACTTGTCCAAATATCTCCTAAAGGGATCCCATTATGCTCAAGCAACATGATAATTCTAAATTTTGATGGAATAAGAAGAGAAGTAGTGGGTGAAATCCACTTGCCTATTCAAATAGGGCCCACTACTTTCGACATTGAGTTTCAAGTGATGGACATCACTCCTACCTATAGCTGCCTCCTCGGAAGGATTTGGATCCACCAGGCAAAAGTTGTACCCACCACGCTCCACCAGAAAGTCATGCTTATCAGCAGGCCACTAGCTATTCCTTATGTGGATGCGATGGAGGAAGCCTTGGAAGTCGTATTCCAAGCGTTAAAGATTGCTCACATTGAAAAAAGTCTCTAACAAGAATTTGGTGGCATAGATGTTAATCAAGAAGGGTTACTAGCCAAGACAAGGGCTCGCTAAGGATGCTCAAGGAGTAATAAAGCTACCCAACTTCCATAATAATCTAAGAAGATAGGGCTTGGGATATGAACCAGTCGCTACTTCACAAGAGAGAGAACTAAAGAATCTCCCTTTGCATCATATTTTCATAAGTGCTAGTTTTTTAACATCTGAAAAATTAGCTCTGGTGGCCAAGTGGACCGAACCTCTATAAGGGGCATTTCTTCTTCCTCAAATTTTTGTATGAATCACAAACTCAGGGCATGCTTAAGCACACGAGATACATTAAAAGGGCATGTGTAAATCAAGAATGTTGTCCTAAATGCCATACATCTATCTATTTCGCTTCTTTTCTCTCTTATGTCTATTATAGACCTCAATAATAAACCTAGAATGAATGAGTATGTTCAACTTAGGAATGTCATTAGAAGTGTTTATTTTAAAATCACATTAACATCAATACAACGCACATCATTAAGAGATAATCTAAGCATGAAAAAAATAAAGGACAATTCCCTTTCTAAAAACTGAAAACCATAAAAATGATCATCTCATAAATGCTACTAAAAAAGCCAAAACAAGACAAAAAGACTAATACAAAAACAAAAGGAAAAAGCCCAAAAGGAAACCTTCAAAGGGGGCTAAGAAAAAGTTAAGGCATGACTCGCTAGGAATCCCACAAAGAGGATGACCTAGGAAAAATTTAGAGTCAAAAGAAAGTCCGCTAGGATACCCACAAAGGGGGTGCCTGGGCAAAAGTTAGGACACAAAACAACATCTTGAACTGAAAACCAAAAGGCAGTTCAGGAAGATCATCATCTAAAAAAGAAAAAAACCCAAGTCATGACTTGATTTTCAAACATAAAGATTAAACTAAATGTGGAAAATGATTTTCCTAATTTGAACATGCTCATTCATTAGCTTAAACATCGGCTACCCTAGATCAACCATTCTTTTAAAAATTCTTTTCGAAGAAACCTTTCTGAAAAGCTTTTGTGAAATCAATAAAAATATCCAGGACAGTTATAGTGCTCATGCCCACGTAGCCCACATTTCTCGCAACAACTAGTAGGGGTAGAAACAGAGCCTCCTACACTAGCAGCACCACTTATGAAAGAATTTCCAGGAACAGATCTACTCTTAGCATGATTTTCTTGAATCTTGGCAGGAGCGGAGTAAGGCTTACTCTTACCCGAAGCACTAGAACTTGCAGCACGCATAGGACCTCCAGCTCCCTTGTAAAAAATAGCACGTACACGGTTGTCACGGTCGTAGATTCTACTATTGTTGACAAGCGTCGGGTAGTGATAAATCTCTTGATAATTGATCGCTGTATTTATCACGAAGGCCATTCACGAACTTAATACACTTAGCCCTTTCACCACCCTCACCATGGTAATGAGTACAATAGCGAACCAAAGCATCAAATTTTGCAGCATACTCTGCCACTGTATCATTCCCTTGCTTCAGCTCGAGAAATTCAACTTCCTTCTGACTCCTCACATCATCCGGGAAATACTTCTCAAGGAAGACCCTTTTGAAGTTGTCCCAATTCAATTGCACTCCTCCATCAATCATCCTTTGAAGTGCTCCTTCCCACCAAAAATGGGCATCAGCAGTCAACATGAAAGTAGCCAACCTCACCTTCTGAGCTAGAGGACACTCCATGGCATTGAAAATCTTCTCGATCTCCATTAGCCAATTCATCGCAACATCTGGGTCATATCCTCCTTTGAAAGCAGGTGGAATATTTTGTTGAAATTGCTTCAACCAGTTAGGAGCGACTTCAGCCCTATTGTTGTTACTCACAGCTTGTGCCAACGCTTGGAGGGCATCAGCAATCGCACGATCATTTCTACCAGCCATAATCTAAGAAAATAGTACACACAATCAAATAAACAACAGACATAATCAATCATCACGCTAGCATAAATTTCATAATTAATTTATTCCATCATTCAACTATCAAACAAGCACAGTATACTCATAACTAACGGCCGATTGGATCGACTTGCTTTGATACCACTAAATGTGACACCCTCTACCCAGCATATCATAACACATAATAATAAAATTTGAATAATAGAACATTTTATAATTAAAAATATCCAATGTGTTCAGACAGAGAGTACCACATTCATAACTTAACAAAATCAGCAAAATTTTAAATAAAATAAAATAAAAGTAAAGTCTCCAAAAATAATTTAATAAGTGAACATCCTTATCTAATTCTATCTACGCCCCGATGTCACATGTCCTATTAGAGCAAAGCCAAACTCTGAAGCCTAAGCTTCATCACCTACATTTCCAGCCTCATGCTGATAATCATCTATACAACAGTCAAAGGAGAACAACAAAAAGAAAAGGGAGTGAGAAACATCTCACTCTAGCTCACAGTGTATAAATACACACCGGATAGCCAAACACAAACAAGCCAGATATAGCACAGATTTATTAATAACAATATTACATCTCACTCATCCAAGACATAAAAATATCAATTAATTATATAACATTGAAAATGCACATGTATGGACACGGACTACATATTATCATGCATGTGGCGCCAGTAAAACATCACATGGCATATTGCCGCTAGCAATACACGAAGAGTAGTCTAGGAGTACATGCCAGGTCACACCCTCTACGCACTCTCACTAGAAGGATATACTACCAGAGTCTCGTCAGGATAGCTAAGTCGCGCAAGATACATCTCATGCACACAATGAGCAAGAATGGGACTTCCAAACCGAGCTATCCCCAAGGACTAATCCCCAAAGCTTTTACACTAAGGGGCCTTCTCTAGTGGTGTATTCCATATCGTACCCTTAAAACACTTATGCAAATGATGCATGTCAATCATGACTCTATGCATTCTCATATCACATTATCATTTCCCATGGTCATTTCACATCATCACATTTCATTATCACATTTCATATCTCATGTCTCAATCACATTTCACATTATCTCATCATATTCACAAAGCCTCCACAGAGCACTTTAATTTATATCAAAACTCGTTTATTTATAAAATTAAATACATATTTTTACATCTCATCAAACAAGGAATATAACAGAACAATCAGAAATCAAAATAGAAAATATCTATATTTTGCCTATTTCTCATAGGGTTTTCTTGCAGGAACCCATAGAGCACTCTAAATCATATCAAAACATATTTATTCTCAAAATTAATCACATACTTACACATTACATTCAACAAGGAATATAATAGAGCAATCAGATAGCAAAACAGAAAACATTCATATTTTGTCTGTTTCTCATAGGGTTTCCCATAGGAACCCATAGAGATCTCAAATCATACAAATTGCATATAAGAAAAATAATAAGAAAAACAGATACAATTGGGAGAAACCCCTCATACATGAGCATACAAAAAATACAGCAATCATAGGATTGGGGGCCAATCCCACTACCCAACATATATTCCCACACCCAAAGCGAGATTTCTCACTCCCCCCTTACCTCGATAAGCAGGATCCGAATCTTGTTGGTCGCCCCCTCTAGGTTCCCCTTCGTCTTCAGAGAGAAAGGAGGAAAAAGATTAGAAAATGAAGAAATGAATTTTAGAAAGTGCAAAACGCTCTATTTATAGGCATCAGGCCGCGGCCAGAACGACCTGTTCCAAAATCAAAACGGCCCGTTCTGGTCTCCTTCGTCATCTAAAAAATATGCAACTGGAACGGCCTGTTCTGGACTCATTAATGATATGTAAAAAATGTAACCGGAACGGGCCGTTCTTCAATCAGAACAGCCCGTTCTGGGTTCCAACTTTGCTTATAAAGTCATGTACCGAAACGACCCGTTCTTAAATCGGAACGGCCCGTTCTGGTTTCAAAATTTTCTCATAAAAACATGTCTTGGAACGGCCCGTTTCGAAGTAAGATTTATATGTCATTCTAGTAGTTTGGAACGGCCCGTTCTGGGCTACTAAAATATAATTTTTTTTTCGTAAATAATTCTTATTAAAATATTCATATTCATTAAAAACATCTAAAATATTTTATAAAAACCATTTAATTTGTTAAAATAATCATAAGAATTAATCTCCATATATAAAAATAATAATAACAATTAATTATTACATTGGTAAAAAATTTCAGGATGTTACAGCACACACATGCAAAATAAGCTAATCAAACCAATACAACTTATAAACTATCCCTATTACACATCATAATAGTCATATCTTCTTCTTGACTTTTTTTTTTACTTGTTGATGTCCTTGGTTAGCTTTGATTCTCAGAATCCACCTTTTGTTATCATCAAAACTTTCATACTCCTAGTTTGAGTTGATTCACTACTCCATGAATCTCAACAGGAGCAACTTGTTCAGAAGGTGCATAAAATGAGAGACTTAATAATTTTAAAAATAAAGCTTAAAAAAATAAAGATTACTCCCCATTTTGGCACCAACAAAAGTTGTCCAAATCAGTCAAAATCCTTGTTGGAGCTAATTTCGATATATAGCTTGGCAAGAAGCTTTTGGTACTTGTATTGAACTTGATGTTGTTGGTCCTTGATAGAACACGGATCTAGATGGGGAGTTGAATAGATTCTTCACTTAGACAACTTATAATGGTCGTTCAAAACTTTCTTTCTAATTCTTTACTTTCTTAGACCAATTTCAAATAAGTACATTCATATTACAATTCAGTCAAGAATACAAATTATCATATTTAATACACAGTGGAATAATTATTTGTAATCCAAATTGATTTTAGTAGTTAACTTCTTTCTTTAATACCAAGTTGCATATATGATAAACTCAAATTTTCAAATCAACAATTGATAATATTCAAAGAAAATGTTTCTTTAATTTCTTGAAATTCTTTTTTTTTAATCAATTTAACAAGAATTATAACAAGGTATGAAGGTTAAGAGAGAATTTTCATAGTGATCTATACTAGTTCAGCCATGTCGCAACCCAAAAATTTCTGATCTTGCAATCTGTGGTTTAGACATCCTTTCGAAAATCTTATCAATTAAGGAATGTTCGAACACCAGACTAATCCTTAATTAATGGTTTTAAAAAATAGGTTCTTAGGAATCGTCACCCATGTTTTGCTCAAAAACATTGGAAAAAGAAAAGGTTTTTGAAAGTCCAATAATTGCCTTTATAACCAAAATTGGGTTCGGGGGTCGATTACGTGTAGGAAAGGTATTAAGCACCCCTACAACGCCCTCAATTGGTACCCTTATGATGAAGTTATCATAGCAAGAATTAATGAGTTAAATATTTGATCCCCTTTATTAATGGTTAGTTACATGCTTGAAATTTAAATTACACAATTGACCCTAAAATGTCTATATGATTGTTTTTATTATAACAATATCTATTAAAGATGAGAAATAAAAGAGAGAGAAGAAGATTGATTGAAATACCTCGTAGCAAGCTTTGTTAGATCTTCAAATATGGATGTTCTAGGTGCTTTGTGGCAACCTTTCACAATACACAAATGCCTCGCAGATCTCAAGAAATACAAAAAGAGAGAGAGAGATAGAGAGAGAGAGAGAGAAATTTCGAGCTCAAAGGAGTCTTATACAAAATTTTCAGGCCCCAAGAATAGTGCATGAATATGTTATTTATAAACATTAGAAGTTGCCAAAATGGCCCGTTTCGGATTCAGAACTGCCTGTTCTGGACTAGTCTGTTGAGAGTAAATTTTGAATCTAGAATGACCCATTCTAGAAGCAGAACGACCCATTCTGGATTAGAATTTAACTCATGAAAAACTGTGCTGGAACGGCTCGTTCCAAACTAGGATTTTAGGCCTTTTTAGGAACTTGGAACAACCCGTTCCAGTTTAGGAATGAACTGTTCCAAATTGAGAACGGCCCGTTTCGATTTTGGAACAGCCCGTTCTGAGCTACTAAAACCAGCTTGTTTGGGCTTTAGGCCTTAAGATGAGAAATAAAAGAGAGAGAAGAAGATTGATTGAAATACCTCGTAGCAAGCTTTGTTAGATCTTCAAATATGGATGTTCTAGGTGCTTTGTGGCAACCTTTCACAATACACAAATGCCTCGCAGATCTCAAGAAATACAAAAAGAGAGAGAGAGATAGAGAGAGAGAGAGAGAAATTTCGAGCTCAAAGGAGTCTTATACAAAATTTTCAGGCCCCAAGAATAGTGCATGAATATGTTATTTATAAACATTAGAAGTTGCCAAAATGGCCCGTTTCGGATTCAGAACTGCCTGTTCTGGACTAGTCTGTTGAGAGTAAATTTTGAATCTAGAATGACCCATTCTAGAAGCAGAACGACCCATTCTGGATTAGAATTTAACTCATGAAAAACTGTGCTGGAACGGCTCGTTCCAAACTAGGATTTTAGGCCTTTTTAGGAACTTGGAACAACCCGTTCCAGTTTAGGAATGAACTGTTCCAAATTGAGAACGGCCCGTTTCGATTTTGGAACAGCCCGTTCTGAGCTACTAAAACCAGCTTGTTTGGGCTTTAGGCCTTATGATGTCATGTCCTGTTGTTTCTATACTTGGGAGCTCCTTTTCTTTGATAATGGAAGTCCATTTCCTTGTTTGTATGCCCCCAGACGAAATTGGGTGTCTACAAGCCATACAAGGGCCTACATGCAATTTCAAACTTAGCACCCTGCTAAATCAAGTCATTCCATTATAATATTCTTTACAAATACCATGTACAAACAATATTATAATCAAAATCTAAATCACATAATCTTGATTCCACAAGATTACACAAACACAATTTTTGCACCCCATAAGAACCCACTTAGGAAAAACCTATCCCAAGATTTCTCTTAACTCTTCTAAAGACACCCTATCTCAAGAGTAATACACACAGTAGTAAAAACAAAGTTTAAAGA